GAGGGGGAGGGGAAGGGAGGGAGGGAGAAGGGAGGAAGGGGGAGGGGAGAGGGGAAGGAAGGGAGGAAGGAAGGGAGAGAAGGAGGGAGGGGGAGGGAGGGGGAGGAGGGGGGAGGAAGAACCAATGGCTGGGCGGCTGTGAGCGGGCTCGGCGGGCGCTACCTGTACACCAGCGTGAGGCAGGTGATGAAGAAGGCCACGCCCACGGTGAAGAGGTAGGCCAGGGGCATGTTGTAGGGCAGGCTGTCGGCGTCGGGGCCGCACTGGCCGCCCTCGGCGGCGGGCACGCACGGCTGGCTCAGCGTGCGGTTGCTGTAGTAGCCGTAGTACATGACGGTGTGGGTGAAGCGGCCCTGCAGGGAGGAGGCCCCGCGGAGTCAGGGACCTGCCCGCACCTGCCCCTCCCCTGCCCCGGGCTCAAGACGCAGAGGAGGGCGGAGGGCGGAGGGCGGCCGCGGGGGCGGGGCGGGAGGAGAGCCCGGAGGTGGACAAAGGGCTCCCCGGCCTCCCTGGGGGGCTGCGACACCCGGCCCGGCCCCCCAGACGCCCCGGCCAAGCCCTCACCCCGCCGGTGAGCAGCTCCAGGCCCGAGAAGGCGGGGCCGGGGCGCGGGGGCGCGGGGGGCGGGAAGGCGGCCTGCACGCCCACCACGAAGGCCAGCTCGGGCAGCAGCAGGAGGGCGTTGAAGGCCAGCAGGGTCTTGAGGAACAGGAAGTAGGAGAGGACGCTGGAGCCGAACTGGCCCCCGATCCGCTTCAGGGCGTAGCGCCAGGGCGTGAGGCTGTGCAGGCGGGCGAGCAGCCCGAGCCCCAGGCTGTGCAGGGCCTGCGGGCACAGGGGCAAGAAGGGAAGCAGGCTGCCCAGCTGGGGGGCGGGGGGGCGGCCTGCTGCAGGGGAGGGTCACGGCCGCGCCGGACAAAGCTAAAGGCTGAGAGACCCCTCGAGGGCGGCAGCGGGCGAAAGGGCCGCCCCCACCCCCACCCCCACCCCCGGGTGCCCTGGGCCCATCCCCCACGGGGCCCCTACCAGGACGCAGGCGTCGCGGAGGCGGCCGCAGCAGGGGAAGAGCCCACGCTGGCCCCGCGGGCCCCTGCGCTTCCCCGCCAGAGTCCGGCTCTCCTCTCTGGGGGCAGAGGCACATCTCGGTTGGACCAGGGATGGACCCGGCCCCCCCCCCCAGCCACCTGCCGCAAGCGCGGGGCCCCACCCGGCCCGGCCCGGGGGCACCCACCGCAGGCAGCGTTTCTCAGCCAGGCCCAAGGGCATCCCCCGAAGCATGTGGTCCCTCTGGGCCAGGGGCAGGCTCTGCAGCTCCTTCACCAGGAGGAGGCGCTTCTCTGCAGAGGGAGGGGCCCCAGTCAGCTCCCGCTGCATCCCCCCCCCCCCCCCCCCCCCCACAGGCCCTGCCTGTGGCCGTGACCCTGGAGGAGCCTGTGGCCCCCGCTGCCCCGCCCCCGCTCACACCGCTGCTGCCCTCTCGGGCCCAG